GTTAGGGCATTTATTTACCATGAGCTCCATACACCTTCTATGTTCACCTTTATCTTAACACTTATATATTAATTGAAATTATCTTTCCCCTTAATTAGATCACATTTTCTCCAAGGGTAGGAAACTACATATCAACATATCCCCAGCACCTAAATCAGTGTTCAGCATATGGTATGTTCCAAATAAATATTTTTGAACAAATGAACAGTTGATTCTCTAGTGAGTGATAGGAATTCTGATGTTAGAAGTCACACAATTCTGAAGGTCTTCCCAATGACTTCTTAACTTATTTCCATTAAAAACCAAAGTCATTATAATGGATTACAGAGCACTATAGTTTCTGACTTGATCCCCTATTATCTTCCCCTTCACTCAGTTCCAGCCACACTGAGCCTTGCTCTGGAATGCTGACTTCTACTGACCATATCACTCAACTCCTTTCCCCCTAGACTTCTTGTATGGTTTCTGCCTAAGGGAGGCACTAGCTGGAAAGTAGAGGTCAAGAGGAGAAAGGTTAGGGCATTTATTCCTCAGCTTATTCTCTGCCTTCTCCAAGTTTTTTCAGTGGTTAGTAAGTACTTATGAGCATAAGTACTTCTGTCAGGCAGTCTCTTCCAGATTTGAACTCTGAGCTCTGGCAACAAAACCCTCTCTCTTTTCCCCTTCAGGCCTGGGAGTATGACTGACTCACCACTATTGATAGTCACTGTGTATTTCACCAGTTCCTTGTTAATCCCTTTAGCACTGATAAGACCCCTTGGTTAAACTCTCTTCAATTAAACCCTTTTGAAGATACCAAACATTTTCCAGACACGACTCTGATACATTAGAAAACAACAATGGCCTCTCCTTTGAACTTCTATTCAATTTTTAATATCTGTAAAAGTTGCCTCCTTTCCTCTAATCTAAAGCTTCCCTTCCTTCCAAGTCTAACTGGTCTTTAAAGTCTCTCTAAACACTCCACTACTACACAGCAATATTGTTGTGACTACAGTTGTGCTGAATCTAGAATGACATTAGCACTCTGTTGTCCTCCTAGCTCTATGACTGTTCAGCTTTGTGGGTCTCAGCTTTATAGGTCTGGTAATTCCAGCAGGCAATAACCTCATCAGGGCTAGGAAACTTCAGCAATTAGGATTTCAGAGGACAAACATCATATAGCTGGAAAGAACTTTAGAGGTTACCTTGTTTATCCTCCTCATTTTACAGATGAGGAGATTCAGGTTCACACAGAGGAAAAAAGTCTTTCTCACACAGCTATATAGTGACATAGTTAAGTCTAGAATCAAGAGTCTTTTTACTGGGCTGAGGCTATAGCTCAGTGGCAGAGCACTTGCCCAGCATGTGTGAGGCACTGTGTTTAAACTTTAGCACCACATAAAGATAAATAAAATAAAAGTATTCTCTCCATCTACAACTACAAAAACATTTTTAAAAAAAAAGATTATTTCTACTGCTTCATCATGCTGGTGATTCGGCACTGGGTACTTAGTTGGCACCTAGTATGCTGATACCTACTCCCAAATTTATAATTTGGGAGTCTTTGCCTCTTGTTTAATGTGACACCCTGTGACTAGAAGAATACCTAACACATAGTAAGAGCTCAACAAATGTTTGAACCTGAGACCCAACAAGACAAATTCCTTAAAATTAATCAAAATGTTATCATTTATAACAACAATCCATAAACATGTAAAGAAAATGTTTAGTTTCCAAAATCCTTTTACATATGTGTCTATTTCATTCCTCTGAGGTAGCCATGGCAGGAATTATTAGTCCAAGTTAACAAAGGCAGGACACTGAGAAGTTAAAGGTCAAAGTCTCCTACTATGTAGCAGAGACCAGTATTCATGTCTTCTGTCTCCTGCTTTAATACCATCTCTGCTATTCTATGTGCTTCTCTTCTGAGCACAGGAGGATCATTCAGGGAGTTAGTTATAATGAATATGTGGGTAACACATATATGTGGAAAGAAGTGATTTTGTTTTATAAATCCATGATTATAGGTGCTTCTGATTAGATAGTCTGAAGCCTACTTTTTTTATAGATGTTGATGGATCTTTATTTTATTCATTTATTTATATGTGGTACTGAGACTTGAAGCCAGTACCTTGCACATGCTAGACAAGAGCTCTACCACTGAGCCACAACCCCAGCCCTGCAGCCTACTTTTGAAACTTGGAGATGTTATTTCTTGAGGGGAGGGTTACCACTGAAATGAAGGAGACTACTTTTGAGACATCACTTTCAGTACAGAACAGAATTAGGCCCTTTCATAACCAGGTGTCCTTGGCCTGGCCCTATCAGTGGGGGAGGAGAGGAGTGAGAGGGAGGGTGAGCATGTGAGGGCTGGCAAATTGGATCTCTTCATGATCAAATGAGCCACAGAGCTAGCTAGCTTCTGATATTTTGCTTGAATTCTCTTACCAAAACCACTTTGGTACAAATTTCACCCTGGGTTCTAGGTTTTAGAATGATCTCTGATACTAATCAGAGCACTACAGGAGCCAAAGCCAACCTAAACATATTATCTAGCCTTTGGATTTCAGTTCCTATTAGGAACTCAAGGTAAGAAAATGACTCAAAGTTCTACATCAGGAATTGCAAATTCAAATGTCTATTAGATGCCAGCAAAGTAACATAAAGCCCAGCATAAGAAAACAAGGAGAGCTGGGCATGGTGGGCACATCTGAAATCCCCATCATTTGGAAGGCTGAGACAGGAGGATTGCGAGTTTGAGGCTAGAGTGTGCAATTTAGGGAGACCCTGTCTTAAAATCCGGGATACAGGCTTTTGGTAGAGCATCCCCCGATTTCATTCCCCAGTACTGAAAAACAAAACAAAATGTGCTGTATTTGATGACTTTTAACAGTTACTTCTTAACTCCAACAACTTGCTTTGTGGAATGGGAACAAACAGATCTTTCATTAAAAAATAAAAACAAACAAACAAACAAAAAAAAACACACATCCTGGAAATCTGCATTTTAAAAATGTGAAATCTGATTGTAAAAAGTTATTTACCAATACAGATCTGCAATCCTGCTACAAACCACAGGAAACCAGCCAGAACTTTACTTTTCCCAATTGAGTAGGTATCCTGTACCTTAAGAGGGAATGATAGCAAATGTGCCACTTCCATATCAAGAGTGGGCAACGTTTATGCCTTCTGAGAATCTGGATAGTGCTGGAAAAGTGGACAAACTGCCCGAGTTAACAGGGATGTGCCACAGATGGAGACTTGGGGTATTTGCTTCATGGAATAACTGGACAAATGTGTGCCTTTTGGGAGAGTTATTTAGGGAATAAAGACCCCTTTGCTAGGTGTGTGAACAAATACATCTTTGGAAATGTCTGGGAAACCCGTATATGGGAAGGAAACAATGACCTCAGGGAGTGTTGTGAGAACAGTTCTCAAGAAAGGAGGAGGAGGAACAGCAACTGGGAAGTACAGAGATGAATGTCAGGTATACAGTCTCCAAGGAATGTTGGGAGGGAATCGGCGATAACTTCTCCTTGGGCGCCCCCTTTGGGCGCCTCTTGCTTACCGTCGCAGCAAAGCCGTCGACTCCAGTGACCTCCATCTTAACGCACCCTTCTGCGCAGGTGCAACAGAGCCCTCCCGACCACGCCCCTACCCTCCACGAGCCCGCCTCCGGCCACGCCCCCCGTTCCAGGTGCAGGTCCTGCTAGATTTTCCCTGAAGGCCTCCAGTAGCTGTAGGTCAGGCTTGCATTTGAGCTCCATTTCAGTGCAGGACTCTGGGGAGGTGAAATACTCATACTCTCCCTTTGGTAGACCGTGGCATGTTGATGGGGGACAGGCAAGTGAAATATAACACTGCTGTGGGGAAGGTTGGTCGTGTTCCCACGGTTTCCTTGAGATGTCAAAGACTGGGAGGCAGTGGAAAGGGCTGCTGGACACTCCAGCAAGAGGGTCAGAATGTTCAAGGGCACTAAGGAGTTCAGGTGATGTGTGTGTGTGTGTGTGTGTGTGTGTGTGTTGGGGGGGTGTGTGTGTGTCCTGTAAGGACAGCATTTCAGACAACTGCAGGATGATGTGTGGGGTGGTGGTGGCTGTGCTGTCCTGTAGGGCCTTGGAGTTTCAGCCTAGAGGATATGGATAACCACTGAATAGTGTTAATAGGAAAGAGACTTAGTAGAGTGTGAAGAGGGCAGGGGAAGAACAGAGGCAGGGAATTATCACCCTAATAGCAAAGAGGGGAACTAAAAGCCACTTATAGTGTGAACTGAAGGGAGACATTGGGTTCAAGGGATAATTTTGAAGCTGAAATTTTGATGCAAGAAGGTGACTGGTTTGGGAGAGGAGGAGGAAGTTTTTTACATGACTTGGCACCTGAACTGTGAGGATCTATTTAGCAAGCAAATGGAAAAGGAGCTAGTTCCCCGCTCCAGGTGATGACAGTGCAGGCTGAGAGAGTAGGCGAGACATTTTTCTTGCTTCTGCTTTTTGGATCCCCATGTCAGGAAGTCTCACTTTTACCTTATTTACTCCTCCTTGCAATAGTTTTTTCAATGTAGCTCTTCCTTGAAAAGAATCTAAAGGAAAGGCAGTGTGTACTCCTAGGCCTAACCCTTTGGCCATGGCAGCCTCAGCCCTCAGCATCTTTTCCTGGTAGGATCCTGCCTTATCTCATAGCCAGGGCTATGGTTTGTCCTAGTAATCCAAGACAAAGGAAAGAGGAAGCACTGGCACACATCATCTACTTTTCTGGACCTTTTGCAGGAAGCTGATACCTTCCTATAGATGACTTTAATACATGAGTCTATTAAACTGGTTGGTGGTCTCAGGTCCAGGCCAAGACACTAGCCCACTTGCTGCTGTACTATTTGGTGCTCATTCAGAACTACTTTAGGCTCTATCATTTGTGGGAACAGGAAGGGAGAATGAGTGTGAAGCCACTGGGCCAAAAGCTACCATTATATAGATGGTTGTTTCTATAGTTTTCTACCATTCACATTATTAATAGACTCCAAAGGCTGCTATAAGATAATTTATTACAGACTAGCCTATAATTTCCTGTAACAATGGCACATACAATAATTAAAAACAGCAAAGATGCTTGGTTTCTTGTTTCACGTATTGGCCAGTACAGCTGTGGACAATGCTGAGTCCTCAGGAAGTTCAGGAGGTTGCTATTGAGGAAATCCAAGAGGATCATGTCACATCTCTGAGCAAGGGCCTGGGAAGTCCATCTGACCCTCTGCAAGAATTTGTCTGACCTCCCATGGAATGTTGAGGCCCTCTCCATCCAGTCTGTACAGAGGGATCAGAGTCCAAGCTCCTTCTGTAGGGTTGAACATCTATGAGGGGACCAGCAGCTGACCCTGATGACAGGGAGAAAGGCCAAAGACTAGAACTTTCTGCAAGAAGGAAGGCAGTCAGAAGACACAGCCATAGATAAGACAACCCTCTCTAGTTTCCACAAGTTTTGGCTTTATTCCGGGTCTACCGAGAAGAAAACCCTTCAGCTAGCTCTCAGGTATATACACAAGAGAACAACCTCCTGTGTCTTCAGGATCACTCCCCTGCCTATAGAGGTGAGGTAGGGGACTCTGGGCAGATGGCCCCTGATATGTGAGTTCCAAACAAATAGTCTGCTCAGGGCTCTGAAGCACCATGTGAACTTGTTTCTATTCATGACAGATAAAATCTGAGGGAAGAGATTAGCACAGCTCATTTCCAGAAAGTATCTTGTTCATTTTCAAAGCCTTGTTCTCATTGGAGCCATACAAAACCAGTAGATTCTGCTCAAAAGACATTAAATTCTATTCTGTGTGCTCCTTCCCTTCCCATTCTCCAGTATAAATCACACAGCTCAGCAATATCTATAGGCTCCACTGACTATTTAGCCAGCCAGGAACAAACTCCAGGTCCTCTAAACTTGTTCTTCTAATACTTGGAATGTGAGTATCTAACTGGATAAGGTGTGGTTTGGAGAAGTATAGACATTGGAAGTGGAGCAGAGGGGTATCTACCAAGAATGACTGACACTTTCTGAAATGTCTGTCCCTCTCTCTTTGTGGAAAATTTCTAAAGGCAGCAGCTCCCACAGTCCAGCTCCTAGTACCACAAACTGGCTACTCAGGAATTCATGAAGCTTTTTGTAAAAAGTCATACTCTCAATGTCCCCCAAATTTCCTTAAATATACTTAACCAAAGAGATCAGCCTCTTTACTACAAGGACCCTAGGCTGGATATACAGCTAGCCCCCACTGGCTGATTTGTGCAATAGGTGCTGCCTGGTGGACACATACACCAAGAGTGTTCAGCTGCCTTCTTCCATGGAACGGGACTCTGATTTGAGTTTCACAAACTCTCGGGCCACCTCGTCATTGCTCCTCTGAGACAGAATCCGGAGAATGGTCATGCCTGTCTCATCCATGTGGATCTTCCGGCCCAACGGGCACCAGCAAGCACAGCTGCCCTTGGCTGCCACATCCCTCAGAGGCATCACAGCCAGCCCTAGCACACGATCCTCCCGGGCAAAGCAGTAATCCTTCACACATATCTGCAACTCATAGGCCTCTGGACCCTCTTCATTTCCCAGGAGGCTGTGAGTACAGGGTAGAAGGCAGGAGGCCAGAGCTGAGAGTCTTCAGCTGAATTCATCCCAGTTTGTCATCCAGTCCATCCCTCCTCTCCCCACCTCTGCAGTCTTACCCCCCAGGGAACCCCCATACTAGACTCCTGCAGGTTTCCCATCCCACAACTTACAAGTGAAATGTCTCATTATACTTGGGGGCCCAGTTGTTGCTCTTGGATTTGGTTGTGAATTTCCTCTTCTTATCACTTTGGTGTGGGCCAACCATGGTCACTTCCACAAAAGGCCGGAACATACCTGCTGTCTGCCACTTGAGATCACTGGCAGCCACCACTGCCCAAACAAGGGAAACCTGTGAGTGATCCCACCAAGTATTCCCAGTTCTTAAGCCCCAGGTGACATTTCCCTTGGAGGAAAGCTGAGGTGCAAGGCTGGGATGGGCAGCCCCTGCCTTCAACTGATGAGTGAAATTACTGGCAAGAAAAGTCAGACTTATAAGTTTACACTGCTCACCTTTCACTGTAACCTTGTGCTCCCCAGTACCAGGGTGTGTAAATAAGTCCACCTGAATAGAGACTTCTCCCACAGGATCATCCACACCAGATGCTGAGGAACAGACAGATGGATAATTGCCCATTGGAGAACTCTAAGTCTTTAGGACCAATTATTCCAGGCAACACTGAGGGTTTAGGGGGCCACTACCCTATACCCTAAAGCAAGAAACAATCACCCACAGTAGCCATGGGAAAATAAGCAATGGGAGAAGGGAAAGAAAGGAGATAAAGAATTATAATTATATATTATAACACAAGTTAAGATGACAGCATCTTAGGAGAAAAAAACTTTCTTTAAAAATGTACTAGGGATATCTCAGGATCCCCAAACCTCTATCTCCTAGGCTGAAGAATTTTTCATTAAAAAATGTTGGGGAGGACAGTGCCATCACCCTACATTTACCCCTGTGTGTGTAAACTATGTCCACCCTATAGTGTCTCTTAATAGAACATTATGGGTCCCTTCTAGACAAAAGTAGCAACCTCCTACTTATCCCCAGGGTTTCTGGAGGCCCCTACTTGGGAGGGTGCCCTCACTGAAAAGACTTTGTCTTACTTAAATCTAGGCCCCTTCACAGAACAACTCTTTATAGTCTCAATCTGAGAAGTCAATGTGAAGGTTCCTCTTAGCAGAGGCCCCACCCTATTTTGAGAAAACAACACTACTCTGCACCTCAGATAAATCCCTTCTTTGTCCTGAGGTGGAGAGGTGAGAAAATTCTGATTACAGGATGGGAGTTAATAAGAGAACCCCTTCCTGGGCTACATGAATACATGGCTCATCTCCCAAGACTTAAGATAGAGCTTCTCAAGTCTTGAGAAGCTCAACACCTGGTTCAGCTTCCCCAGCATAAGCAGCTCACAGGAGGTCAGTGTTATCTCATGTTAGATTCATATCTTCAAGATGTATAACATACCCTTTTCCGGCCGAATGTCCTCATTAGCAGTAAACCTAATACCTTTCCCATCATATACTGAGTGAAGACAGGCAAGTCAAAAGGTTGTAGCAGCAATAAGACAGAAAAAGAAGAATTGTTAGAGGCTAAAGGAGTTATGGCATTCAAAGCAGCACTACAAATACTGTGGGGAGCAAAAAGATGGAGCAGGGTGGAAAAAGAAGTCCAAGAGCTGGGTTCAGTGTCCCAGTGTTTCACATTAGACTTCTCTGGATGGAGATCAACTGAATCATGGGCAGAAGCAGTTGTAAAATATAGAGAGAAGGTATATAAGACCAGCAGGGTAAGAGGTTGTAGGCTCTAATTTCCTAGGCCTTTAAATGACAAAGAAATGGGTAGAAAACATACATATATACTTGTTTTCCCTGTAGGTGTATCCCCTGCCACCTCCTCTATGCCTCTTCTAGTTTCCTCTGTTTTTAATCTAGATTACAGAACAATGGTTCTGAAAAATCTTTTTAGATAAACTCAAATCTTCCGTGATATTACAGACCTTATATAGATAATCAGTTTTGTAAAATTTCTCCCTGACCCCTTTAGCCAAGCTGATCCCTGCTTCTCTTGCTCCTTTGACTAGAAATAAGAACAGACATGAGAAAAGATATAGTATTATAGGGTGTCCGTCCCCGCAAGACAGGGTATGCTTCATGAGCTCAATAAATATGCACTGGCCAGGTGATGTCTGGGGAAAGAAATTTCAGGTCCATTTCCCAGGGCCCTATGATTCTTGTATAAGTATGGATTAGGGTAAATACTGAAATCCCCTCCAGAAATCCTGAGATTCAGGTTTGAAAGTCCTCTGAAGAAGAAACCCCTAAGGGCTTGAAGATCCTGACTTCCCAGAAGCAGATAAGTAAGGGAGGAAAAGGTGGGGATGCAAAGCTCTTAGGCCCTTACCCTGGGCAGTCTGGGAGCGCACAAAGGTCTTGATGAGAGTGTCTGTAGTCTGTGTGTACAGAGATAGAGCATAGCGTAGAGACTGCAGATCTGGGCTCTTCTCCAGGAAGGTTTTCTTTAGTCCATTGCCTCCCGCGTGGAAGTATTGCTGAAAGATAAATGAGCACTTGATTCACCCTCTCACAGAGTGGCAGTTCCCCAGCTGTTCTCAGAGAAGCCAGGACAGTTTCTAAGGTGAAGGTCCTCTTTGGGGTGTCTGGCAGGAGCAGTAGGGTAAAGCCACATTCCTGGAGGTAGTGTTTGACAGAAAGGTCTATCTGGTCAGGCACAGATATAGGAAAAAAACATTTCAGGCAGGGAGAATAGCCAAAAGTGCTTTTATCCCTCTGAATTTAGGGAACTTGATACCTTGCCTAACTGCCTTGAATCACAGTACACATGGACCTGCCTTATTACCACCTTGCCAATCTTAAGTGTCTTGAATTTAGGAATGTATCTGATTCTCTTTCTTTGTATCCTTCAATGCATAGGGCCACTTATTTAAATGTGGAGTGGTAAGAACCTGAGGGACACCTAGTCTGGCAGGGTGGAATGCTAAGGCCAGGTGTGTGTGTGGAGGTAAGACTATCTGGAAAGGGGGAGGTCTCCACCTTGATGGTGTCCAGGGCCAGGTCGAGGACAGCACACTGCTTTGGAGTGAGATTCCGTGTTTCTTCTCGCACCATATGGTCCTGGAACCCCAGAGAAAGCAGTAGTAAAGGACAGCTCAAGGAGGTCATGAAAGTCTTGGCTCAACTGCCAGCCCATGGCTGTATGTTCCACTCCTCTCCTCCCCTTCCTCTTCAGTCTCCAAAGCCCAGATAGCCTTCCTCCCATGGTACCCTCTCCCCAGCTTCAGGAGGACCCCACATCCCAAGAACCTTGAGTTTGGAAAGATGGCTCAGCTCCTTGGCAGCAGTGAAGATCAACTGGGTGCCCTGGGCAGAGAGGGGATCAGTCAAAAGCAGGGGACTCCAAACTCCATCAAGAAGTGGGAGACAGCAGGAGGAAGTGGGAGGGAGGTGTCCTTACCGTTTGGTCTGTGAGGGGTGGCAGAACAATCATTCTTTCCATTGTGTTCATCACCACCCGCCAGAGCTCCTTCAGGACACGCTTCAGAACTGTCTTCTCACACACAGTGGCAAAGAGTGTGAGGCTGCAGGTCCAGTCAACAAGTGAGGCCATGCTGAGGGTCCAGGAGTCCCCATCCCCAAGAGGCTCCTCTGTTTGATGGCCTCTGTTTTGCTTGTCCCCAAAGAACAGTCCTAAATGCTGTACTCACTTGCCATCCAGAAAGTCCATGAGAGGCCGCAACACACTATCTGCATCCTGAGCCACTGAAGCCCTGGCGTTGGGGGACGCATTTCCTGTGCCCCGTACCTGGCCCAGGATATCTGCCATTTGTCGAACACACTCATCGATCCGCACCTGGAAGCTACACATGTACCTACAGTGCAGTCCTCCCTTGCCCTCATACCTTGACCCTGGAGCAGCACCAGCTATTCGAGCTCATATGTCTATGCTCACAGCATAGCTTCAGCAGGGACAGTCAACAGGAGCAGAGGGAAGACCAACATACCTGCAGCTGGCTGAATGGGTATGGGCAGGGGCTCTGGGACTGGCCAGGGATCACACCTGGCTCCAAAAGCCATGTTTGGGATCACTGACCTGTTTCCAAACACCATGCTGAGCTCATCCAGAACTGTATTCAGTTTCACCTGCAGTTCCTTCAGACTGTCTGCAGCTTCAGGATCTAGCTGTATCCACAGAAAGTAGATCTGGCTAGGCTCCTTCTCTTACCCTCTTCCCTTCTGAACCCCTTATCCTCTCTCTTAGGACCTTACCCCAGTGCCTACTCTTCCCTCCTGGAACCTTTTCCCAATGCCTGCGCCTCCCTCCTAGGGCTATAACTCAATGCCTGTTCCTCCCTCCTCGCATCTTATCCCAATGCCTACTCCTTCCTAGAGCTTTACCTCAATGCCCTTCTCAGATCAAGCCAGCCCAGACCCCAAGCTAACCTCCTAACATATCCCTAATCAATAAATAGCATAGTCTGTGGCCAGAGAGTTCAGGAATAACGGGAAAGTATGGTGACCCCAAGCCCTAAGACCTACCTCCTTGCCTCCCATGGCTTCAAACATTTTCTCCAACTGGACCCTCAATTGCTGCATGTTGTTCATCAGGATGCAGGGCTTCGGGGACAGATAAAGCCATTGAATCTTGGCTCCTTTCAGCACAGGACCCACTAGGCTAGGGTCCCTCCCTTTAACATTGTTCCAAAGCCACAGGGACTTTACATATTACATGGTTTCTCCCTAAGCACTAAGATTTGGAGCCAATTCAGACAATTCTCCTTGAATGAATACTAGAAGCAAACGTTTTTTCCTTTAAGTTGGATGGTATACAGATATTCACAGTATTACCTTTTATAACTCCCTGAATGTCTTCAATTAAAAAAAGATCAAGCAAAGATCTAGCTTGGTAGAGGATAAAGCACCAAACTGAGGCTCAGAGGAACTCAGTCAAGTTCTTATTATCTTGTGGTATGGGTCTCAAGAAAAGCTTGGGAGGGACCCAGAAATCAAGAGCATCTGAGGATAACTTCAAAAGCCAGGAAGGAATCAAATGTCCTCATTTCCTTTCTTTAAATGCCCAGTGCCTGACCTTACCAGTTTCTCTTTTGTGCAATAATCTGGGAAGTTCTTCGATAAGATGTCTGCATATTCCATCAGCACTTTCCCGATGGTCTGAGAAAAGAGGAGGAAAGAAGAGGAGTGGGAACCCTTTGTTCTCCCTGAAAGGATCTTGCCTGAGGTTGTATTTCTCATTCCAAAACAATAAGATCAGGGAAATAAAGGGGGAATCTCACACAAAGAGGCAAAATGTCCTCTCAACCGAAGAGTAACACTGAGACAGGTCTATCTTCCCCAGACACAAGCAAATGGCAATGGGCTAATGCTAGGTTTTAATTGAGGTCCTAGCAGAGAGGGGCTGAATAACGACAGAGAGTAGGTTGTACATACAGTGTTGGTAAGGGAAAGGGGGAGAGGGTCATGGTCACCTTAGCAAATCTCCTCATGTAGTGGGCAAGGATGTTGGGGTCTGGGCATTCCAGCTTCCGGATGATCTCAAAGCTCTGATTGAGCTGCGTGAAGATGTCCACCACAGAGCAGGAAAAGAGTGCATGCTCTGATGTCTGCTGGAACTAAGGAAGGCCATACACAGGGGTCACCATCCACAGCTGCTACCTTTTCTCAAGCTTATAGGGTCTGAAAGAGCTCAGGCCAGCAGGGGTGCCTTAGTGGCCCTCCATATCCCTCTTATGGACTCTAAAGGGCAGGGACAGCCAGCCTGGTGGAAGCCCAGGAACTTCTACCAATAACTAAATGCTGGGAGACCTGGCCTGGCCCTGGTGCAGCCTAGGCTTCCAACTTACCCCATCCTTCTTATCTCGTTCCAGGGCCCCACGCAGGAATTCAAGGGATACATCCTCATTCTCATCCAGCCACTGTAGCACAAACTGCTCAAACCACCTACAGCCAGAGCAGGAGAATGGAGGGTTGAAGCTAGTGGTTGGCATATGTTAAATGCTTGAGAGCTCCATCAGACTGGCAAGGCATGTTTTGACACTCTTCTCTTTCTACACTAGTGCCCAGAATGAGCAGTTCCAAGACTGGCCTGCTGAAATGAATTGAGGATACCAGCCCCATCCACTCAGGGGGCCCTCTTCCCTCCCTCTGTACTGCCCACATGACTTACACTGGGTACTCAGGCACCTGCCCCTGGAGGGCAGGCAGATCCTGCACATATTCATTGTGGAGCCACTTCACCTTGAAGTGCAGGTTCATGTAGTCGGCACTCTTACACAGCCGGTCTTTCTCATGCTCTAGTGAGGGGAGGGAGGCTGGATCAGGTCTGAGCAGCAGAGGCCATGGTTTCCAAACTTTTCCAAGGTAACAGATCCTGTCAGGTGGCTCTACCAGACGTCTCAGAAGACTTGTGATTCCCAACCTCCTTCTCATAGCCATCTCTCCAACCAGTGTTTTATTCAGCTTACTCTCTAAGAAACGGCCCAAATCTTCTCTAGAAATAAGCAATTTCCGGATGAAGCCTATAGTCTTTTTGTTCTAACTTTCAGAAGTGCAGAGTGAGGTCACTGGCCTCTGGTGAAGAAGAGAAAGGGCTGTAGTTGCTAATGCTGATCATTGAGGACACAGCTCAGGACTGTAGAGGGACAATGGTTTTCTAGATTTTTAAAGAAAATATTAGTAGCCAAGCCATTCCTCCAGGCAGGCTTAAATGCAGAGATGTGAAGTTGTATATGGCATGAATGGGTTAATGACAACTACTCAGATTCAGGGAAAACCAAAGTAGGAAGTATAGTCAGTTTGGAAACTATGGAAACACAGCCAGAAGCAAAGGCCATCATGCTGCGGAAAACAGACTATTATTATGGATTTAGAAGGTCATCTAGCTGAATCTCCAGAGACTTCTGGAAAATCTAGGATTCAGATCACTCAGCTGGGCTCAGAGTCCAGAGCACTGGCCAAGGTTCTCTTCATTCCCCAACCCCTAGAGAACTGAAGCATTAATTTCAATAATAAAAGCCAACTGTGTGGTGGCATAACATAATGGTAAAGGCAAGCAAATGGGGGAAATACTAAGCAACAGAGAAGAGGCTGGTGTCCTTGGGGACTATGTTGCTCAACTTTGGGATGCCACAAGTGATGTTCCTCCAAGTCAAGGCAGAACATCCAATCTGGGGCTGCTGGCTCTTGTAAATTAGTATAGCAGACACTTGGGGAGGAAATGGAAGCCTGGGATTCAGCTGCAAGAGACTTTTGTTCCCAGGTCTTTCATCTCTTGGTACTATAGGCAGCACCATTCCAACCTGAAGTTGCATTTGCTGTCTCTTCTATGAAGCAGTGAGCAGGAAAAGGAAAAGGTACAAGACTAGAGGCAAAAGGACAACAACCAAAAGTTCTTACCACCAGGAAAGAGGACTTTTCGAATACGAATGACAGTGGTTGCTTGTGACAGAGCAAAGACACCAATGAGCAACAAAGAGTAGAAAACTCAGGGACATAATAGAGACCCCTCTTCTCCACCCCAGCCCCTCTGTCCTTGAACCAGTTCTAAACCTAGAAACTTGAAAAGGCAGCACCAGTGGCCCCTTCCTCCATCCTGTAACAACTCACTAGAAGTGGGGGCAGGGCTGTTCCTAATTCTTCCTTCCAGCCACCTAAAAGTTACTATATTTACATATAATTCTTACTTTCTCTGTCAATCCATTATCTGTTCTCTGGATCCAGGTCCCAATTTCTATAATAAACATTAACTTCTGTGGTATAAACACTAACGGATGAGTGTTAAAACATGTTCAACATTCTAACAAGGTCCAAAGAAAAAGTTGCTTGAGGTTGCTGTTGCTGCTGGTGGTGGGGTTAATCTGCCAGAAGGGGTAATCTTGTTTGCATAACCTTCTTGCCCTGACTTCTGTTGTGCTCCTTCCATTTTTCATCCTTAGAAAGTTTTTTCAACCTTATGATTTTAACTATCTAGTCTGATGATATATCCCCAAATCTCTCTTTGGTTCTGATAATTTTTAGGAAAGGTTTTGATGCAACGTTTCATTGTGCATAATCTAACTTTAGTCTCCATCTCTCACTATCTTAACATCTCCAGGTGAAGTTGAACACAGTATACCAATCAATCTTACCCTCTTGTCCAATGCTGAGTATTATCCTAAATTCTTTCTTCTTCCTCTATACTCACATCCAGTTAAATCACCAACCCCTGATGATTTTACCTCCAAAATGTCTCCATTTCCTTCAAGTCATACTATTACCTGCCTAGGTCTCATCACCACCACCTGGATTACTACGACAGCCTCATTCCCCTTCAGGTTACTCTCCATAGTGTAGCCATAGTGAGTGGCCTTTCCATGATAAATCTGATCATGTCAATCCCTTGTTTAACATGCCAGTGGTTCCCATCTGCCTCAGGATGAAGTCCAGAAGCCTAAACATGGCTTACAACCTCTTATGATTTAATTCTGTCATATCTCTCCATCCTCATCTCTCACTGATCTATCTACTCTCTGAAATGCTAATCAAACTGAACTACTATTTCCATAAATTCATCAAATTGCATTCTTAAAGTACATTTACTTGATTATATATAAATTATACGCCAATAAAGTCTATTTAGAAAACACTTGGTAAAGGATAGCATCTTAAGTTGTCGTTTCACAATCATCATCAATGCTGTCCTTTTATTATCCAGGTGCCTCTCCTTCATTTGCCATCCATATTCTAGGAATCACTAGGTCTAGCAAACACTTCTTTTAGTGTCTACTGAAGGCCATTTTTCCCTTTCCATTCCTCTGCTCTAATCCCAGGGCCAGCCCTTCATCCCTAAATTGTTACAATAGCCCTTCACTATCTGTGTTCTCTGCTTCCACCTCTCCCTGTTCCAGCTGCTCTGTTTTACAGGAGTAAAATCTTGTTAAAATTCTACTTTGTGTGGGGTGGCTCATGCTGTAATCCTAGGAACTTGGGAGGCTGTGGTAAGACGAACACAGTTTGAAGTCAGCCTCATTAACTTAGTGAGAAACTGTCTCAAAATAAAAAATAAAAATAGTTGGGGGTGTGGCTCAGTGGTATAGAGCACCGGGTTTCAATCCTCAGTACTGCAAAAAGAAAAAAAAAAATTCTGTTCATTGATCTTTGCCTATAATGGTTTCTTATTGTTTTTAATTTTAATATTTTTTCAGTTGTAGATGCACACAATGCCTTTATTTTTGATTTGTTTATTTTTTGTATGGTGCTGAGGATTGAACCCAGTGACTTTCATGTGTAAGGCAAGCATTCAACCACTGAGATATACCTCCAGCCCCCTCTTATTGTTTTTAATGGCTTATTCAGTGCTAAGTGCCAGGCAATATGCTAACTATATCCTATATACCTCAGTTGTTTCATCAGCTCAATGAAATCCATGCCATCATCACTCCCATTTTGCAGATCAGAAAAGGGGAGCTCATAGAAATTAAGCAGCTCTGTCCAAGGTCACACGGCTAAATAAGTACTGTGAGACTTGAAACCAATACAGTTGTTCATTCTCTTAAAGCAGTTTTTAACTTCTTTTGTGGTTTATTTTGTTTGTTTTTTATAGTACCAGGGATTGAACGCAGGACTTCATACATGCTAGGTAAGTACTCTACCACTGAGTTACCTACCCAGCCCTTTTTAAAATTTTTATTTTGAGATACAGTCTCACTAAATTCCCCAGGCTGCCCTCAAACTTTGTTATCCTCTTGCCTCAGGTGCCCAAGTAGCTGGGATTACAGGCATGCCCCACAGTGCCTAGCTGGTGCTTGTTTTAAACATTGGCAGAACTCCCTTTGAAAAGATATCTCACCTAGAACCCTATATATGATTGATAAAAGAAAGTTGATTGCTGGCACCAGGAAAATGCTTAAGAGCCCAGACCCTGGGTTTCCCCTTTTAAATTAACTTAGCTCTTCAGATATTTTGGTCTGAAAAACTCTTCTCCATCATGCACTACCCCTTACTTATGGAAATGATTTTTTTTCATGGTTATTTATGTCTTCCCCCAAACCCACTGGAGCTGGAGTTCTTCAGGAGCTGGAGTTCTTCAAGAGCTGGAACCAAATGCATCAAGTTTGGTGAATGTTGCCTGAAAGAGGACTGGTGACCTTCTCGCTAGACTGAGAGGTGAATGTGTATGCTATAGCCTTAGGACAGACCCCGTGTGGGCAGGATGCATCCCCTGCTCTGGGGCTGAATTATAGAATGCATGTGTGTAGTCTGTGGCTTTCACAAATTTAGCACAGATCTTCAAGGTTTCTTTCAACCTCAAAATTAATTGCTTCTAAACCTCATTAAGTTTTGAGAGTATGAGTGTTAGCCATTTCCTCTGCAATCCACCCAAATAACAGATCCAGACTCTACTATGTGCTTGCCCCAGGTCCTCCTCCTCCTAGATCTACTTTAGGGAGCTAGACTAACCTACACAGACAGACAGGAAAGACAGCTAAATAGGTGAGCACAGATGGGTACAGGTGGGAAGATGACACAGGTAGGGAATAGTATCTTTGTGGACCAAGGTGGGAATTGAAAAAAAGAATAAGCTAAATGAATGAGATGAATAATAACATCTGTGGCCCTGCTCTATAGGAGTAATAAGGAAAGAAATGGCTTTGTCACATTAATCCAGAGCAGCTTTCTAGGAAAGTCAGGGCAGTCAGTGCCCAATATGAGAAAATAACAACATCTAGCTATGTATTTAAAGATCTCTGATTGTTTAAAATGGTAAGGATAAGTTTCACAAGACCATTCTCTTGGAAGCTAACTTGCCTAGTTGGATAAGGAAAAGGTTTGCTTGGGAAGAGGAGTCCACCTTTCTGGGAATGCCCACCATGGGATGAGTTGATCTCAGTGTATCCTACACCTACAGGGCCCCCTATTATGTTTCCACACAGAGCCATTTCCATTATTTCCTTTGGCTTTAGCTCTGCCCACCCAAAGTCTCCTAAGGTCCACTTCCTACCATGGCTAGAATCCCTCTAGTCTCATTGCACCATTTACCCAGAACTTATAGTTGCCCAGGAGAGGAATGGACAGCTTACAAGGTGCTTGGGATAGGAGCCTGAAACCCACTGACTTGGGCAGACCCTTACCCTCTAATGCGTATTTCATGTCTTGGGCAAACAGATGCCACATCACTTCTGTGCTGACTTTTCCCACATTCAATTCCTGAGGAAACCTGAATAACAGAAGAAACCACAATCAGAGAACAGGGCAAGAGTTATTTGATGTGATTAATTCCAAAATGCCTACTACTTGGGAGTTCATATTGAAGAGAGGAGAAGCCAAGGGAACGGAGCTAGTTTCATATGGAGAAAAGGAATCCAGGGACTGATAAGACAAGTAAGGGCAAAGGGGATCCCCTGAGGCAAGGAGGGTCCAGGGGAGAAAATGCCCCAAAATAAAGGAATTGAGGCCCAAAGGAGGGTTGAGGGTGAAGGCAGGTCTAAGCTAAATAAGGTGGAGGAGAAAAGGCAAGGGGGTGGGCTCTATGAAGTCCCACTTTAATCACAATGGACAGAAACATACACACATGGTCTCTGGATCCCCTAGGGCTCCCAGCAGCCTCTCACTCCAGGGAGGCTGGCTCAGTCTGGGCAGAGCCCCCCATTATGTTTCCACACCTGTCTCCAGAAACAGTTACCCAGACAGATACAAGGGACAGAGGGACAGACTGACGGACAGGAGGAAGAGGTGGCACTGTAAACATACAGAGATAGGAAAGAAAGAAGCTGTTAGACAGATGGACAGAGCAATCACCAACCAGACAGGGTCATGTAGGGTAATACTCACTGGTTCAGAACAGGTGTATAGGAATTTTTATCTTCCTCTATGATTGACACAATGAGTGTGATGAGTTTGGGCCAAAAATCCAGGTTCCGAATGCTGGGACCTTGTTCCTCTAGAGGTAGCTCCTGCTTCTTGTTCCAGAGTAGACAGTGAGAGACAAAAGAATTGGAGAGTATCTTAAATCTTTCTCTTTTTATTCCCCATCCCATGCCCCTTCCTCTAGATCAGGGACCCTTCCTTGAGCCTGTGTTCCATAAGACTGTCCCTGTTCCATGAAAGGAGTGACTACTAGGAGGCCCTTTCTCTCTTGAAAAGGTCACTTCCCAGGCCCAGGTTACTGCTCTGACAAGCTTGGTCTGTCCAGGAGACATGAAGGTCCCCTTCCTTCTCCTTCTCATTTGCTCCAGTAGATGACTCCCTGGATGAAGTGAGCTCCTCTCTAGTTTCCCTAAGTAGGTATAGTTCTGCAGACACCCTCTTCTAGTGGTATCCCTTCTCTGAGCACCCACTCCCCGCCCTGCCACACACACATATCTCAGCTCTGAGAAGCTCCTTCTAATTCTATGTGAACTACTAGCCAGACCTTGTATGCTTTTTGGCCTAACTTTCAGGAGGGTAGTCTTCTATTGACCCACTAAAGGTCATTGGGGAGAAGACCTGCATCTAAGAAGCTAACTGCCTAGCTGGATAAGAAAAAAGTTTGCTTGAAAAGAGACAAGGGAAGAGTGGATCTCAGGAAAAGAGGAGCCACTTCACATTCAGACCCCAGAAGGGACAAGTAGGAGTTTCTATAGAGATATTGGAGTGGATGTTATTTCTCACTGGGACAAAGGCAAAGGTGAAGCTGCACAGAATGGCAAGAATATGGCTTTTATGTGATGTCATGTCACTGCAAAGTCTCTAACAGTCCTTAATAAACCTGGGTCACTAAGAAGTTACCAGAAACCAAGACAGAATCTAAATCCTATTGATTCTACCTCAGTAAAATCACTTATATACATTTCTTCCTTTTACTTTTTCTGAAACAATTCTGGCTGGCTCTTATCATTCAAGGATCTCCTGACTGGTCTTTAAACTTTACTCCAATACCTCCTCTAGGTATTTAGTGATCTTACTATAAGGGAAATCTCACTGTTATTCCTCTGTTTAAAGTCTTTTAAAGGCCTTCAATTATGTTTAAACTCCTTAGCTTGACACAAATGTTCTTCAGAATATGACCTCTCTCAACCTCATGTCTTATCACTTCTCTTTCCTGTTGAAGACAGCACCACACCATGATCACTACGTCCTTATTACAGTACCAGGCATTCTAAGAACTTTACACATTATTATCTTGTTTGATTCTCAGAATAACTCCATTAAGTAGAATTATTTTCACCTTCATTTTCAGATGATGAAACTGGGGGACAGCAAGGTTTTATGACTTGCTCAAGGTCATACAACTGTAAACAGCAGAACCAAGATTCTCACATAGCTGAATTCCAAAGCCTGATGCTATAACTATCCTAATTAAATTGCTTTTATTTTCTTAAATTAGCATACTCATGTACAATTTTGCGCTACCAAACATTCTATTTTCTTCACATGGTATCCTCTCCTCATTCTTCCAGATCCTTTTTGAAGCTAAGTCTTACTCCTTCCTTAAAACCCAGGTTGAACTTTACTTCTGTGAAATGTTCCCTGACACCCCTAGTCTGGTTAAGATACTACTCCTCTGGGGTCCCAGAGCACTTTCTGTGAAACTCTAGTACAGACCTATCAGAGAACTACAACTACAATAAAATATAATAAAAATAAAAAGAACAATAAATGTAGCAATTTGTTTCCATCTCCAGTAAACAATAAACTCCCCTAAGGCAGAGATGTGTCTTACTCAACTTTATATCTCTAATTGCCTGTTTGTTAAATGAATGGATTGATGATTGAACCAATGACTGAAGGTCAGTAATGGAAATATTAATAATATCAAAGTTTTTCCCCAGTGTAAATATTGAACAATAAGAAAATTAGAATGAGAAAAAGAAAAAGGCAGATAGCAAAATAAAAAAGACTAAAGCAAGTATTTGTATAATTTTCAGGCCCTCTTCAAAGTCTACATTTTATTCTCAGGCTGGAGCACAGGGACCAAATATTCAAATCAATATCTGCATAGCTGAAAGATCAAAAGTGATGATAGTGTTCCCCCCACAACAAGAGAGAATTCATAGATGGTTAACAGAGGAACCCAGAATATAGCAAGCAAAACAAGGACCCCAGAAAAACCTCCCATAGCTGTCAGAACCAATTTTTATAAACCATAAAAGAAGGATGCTTTAAATATATGACTGCTGCAAAAAGCACATTTGGGAATGAGAGGAAGCAGCAAGATCTTAGTCTTTACTAAGGTTCTCCTAGGAAGCATTAAAAATAGAATTAAAGGATAAATGCTCAATAAATTTAGATCAATAGAGTCCTATTATTTGGTCCTATTACCTTTCAAAGTCTATCTCAAATGCCCCTTGTTTTATGTAGCTTTCCCTCATATCTGATCAAGAGTAACTTCCTCCTTGGAATCCTTTCATCCTTATCTCTTTAAAAGAGACCCTTCTAACGGACTACTTTGATTACAGTTACATATATGCTCATAAGACTGAACTTACTAAAGGAGTACTGTGCTTTCCTCAGACCTGGCGTAGGACAGACAAACAACATATTATTTGTTAAACTGAAGGAAAGCTACTCTGAACGGCTATCAAGATATTACTAAGACAGAAACGGTAACTGGGTAATTGGATCTAGAAGGAAGTCCAGGTTTTTAAATGGGGGCCAAAGGGTCTGGGGAAATATATGTAAAATTTGAAGGATCTAGAAATAGATAGTGTCACCAGGCACTGATTTAGGATGCCAGCCTAAAACAGGTGAAACAGCACAGCCTCACAGAAGGAGCAGGTTGGCCTTGAGAATTAGATGGTGAATTATACCACAGAAGACATTGCAGACAAAAGTGACCAGAGAGAAAAGTTAGACTTTCATGAGCCAGGAGTGCAGAGGGACAGCAACAGATCTCAGGGGAAGGCAACACAGACCTTATAGTGATCACTATGAGTCAGAACAAAATTAACCTTCAGCAAGAAAAAACGACCACAACAAACTGAGAATTCCACTACTGAACACCTCAACTGTGCTTAAATATAGGTTCACTTTCTTCAGCACGAAAGTAAAACTTATTGCTATTTCTGTTCAACTCAGGTGTCACATTTTGTCCAAGAGTCCCTGCTAATCCACAAATGTCTCACATGGTTTAGATATTTCATAATCTATAACTCATTTACCCTGAGCACATCAAGGACTTTGTCCTGAGCTCCTTCCACTATGCTTCTTGCAAAAAAAAAAAAAATCTCAGGCTCCAAAGAGTTATAGTCAGCTGGCCCCACTTAACCCCAAATTTCTTACCAGCTGATACTGGCGATTGTATAAGTCATGGCAGTTGTTGAAGATATACTCATATGTGGAGTTCAAACAGGCCTTCACACAATCCTTTACCACCTGGCTGGCTCTTGGAGGGCTCTGCAGTTCTTGTACCTGTTGATTGATAGAAGAAATACAGGCTCAGGGTCCTGCTCACCTATATATGATATCCTCCCCAGCATTCCCCAAACCCACTACAGAGTCTTCCATTCATTTCTGTGTTCCTAGACCTTGCTCTGTGATGAAATTGCCAGGAAAACTGATGGGGAGAATTTACAACTCATCCTTGTTTTCCTACTGTCTATGTACTCTCTCAGAAGTAACCCAGGGAACAGATGTATGGAAATGTAAGCTTAGAGAATCCTGTATCCACCAGCTCTGCCCAGTGATTCTTACTCTCCTGTGATCACATCTTCAGCCTAGCAAATCAGCCCAGTTCATCCTTACCTTCATTCTGAAGAAAGTAATGCTGGTCAGCAAATCCACTGTGGATTTTAAATCCTGAAGCCGCTCAGGGCTCCCAGCAGGGAAATTATTCTGTTACAAATCAAGCAAATGTAAGAGAGGAACAGAGGAATATGAAAATTTTATCTGCCAAAATTCAATCAAAAGTAACCCACTGAGATTTTCTATAGTTGAGCTGGGCAAAACAAACAAACAAAAAAACCTGTGATATTGTCTCCCTCTTTCTTTTCAAGAACCTAAAGACAGGTCCTTCCCCAAAGCAGAGATTAATACTCCACAGCTCAGAAAGCAACACATCCTTCCCACAATCCTACTTTCCATGCAATGTTTTTGTTCAAATGAACACCCCCCTACCCCACCACCCCCAAACACACACACACACAGTTTTCATGGATGAAGGTTCTTACACCCAGTGAGTTCTTCAAAAATTACAATCTAACTGTATATCCTGGAATATAAGTGTAGTCCCACTACATTAAGATCAATCTGAGATCTAGGACCTGTACTTTCATACAGTAGACCCTATCTCTTCTACTATTCTGGAGCCAGATGGTAGAGCTCTGAGCAGAACTTCTTTGGAGTGAGATCCTTAGGATTTTCCTGCATGCCTTACTTCATTCCTTTCGGAATGCGTTTTAGAAGAAGCTGCATGCAGGAGTGAAAGGAGGCAATGAGCCACTCTCCACTTTAAGAGTCAGTTTGTTTGTTTTGTTTTTGTTTTTTGATACTAGGAATTGAACCCAGAGGTACTTTACCATACTGAGCTACATTCCCAGCCCTTTTTATTTTTAGTTTTGTGAGATCCTGCTAAGTTGCTGAGGCTGGCCTGGAACTTGTGATCTTCCCGACTCAGCCTTGTGAGTTGCTGGGATTATAGGATGAGCCACCGTGTCTGGTTCCCAAGGGTCAGTTTTAAAACTTTTGAATGGCTACTTATATGCCAAAAATAAGATATACAGTCATCTCCCCATTATTTTTGCAAATGAAGGACACTGGAAGTACATATAAAACCTCACTTTTTTTTAAAGTTTTTTTTTGAGGTTGTTTTTGTACTTACTTTTTAATGTGTGTACAATGCATTCTCTGTAAATTCACAACATTTAAAGTGAGTAATAAATCCATTCTAAAAAGATGTAACTTAGGAGGAGCTGAAAAAAAAAAACCCATTTCCTTTTCCTGCCCCATCCAATATATCCATCTTCCTACCACAACTATTTCCTCCCTCCATCCTAGGCATGGATATGACGTCACTCTGATACAAATTACTTGCCCATGCCAAGCTACTTTTTTCCTCCAAAATGACATTCTCATGCTTCCCCTGAAAAATGAGGAAAGTATGACAGGCTTCCCTATGTTACTCATACAGGCCTCAGACTCAAGATCCTTCTGCCTTAATCTCCCAAGTAGCTGGGATTACAAGTATGTACCACCTAACCTGACAAGTTTATAATTTTTTAAAGGACACTTTTAGAAGAGGTATCTTCAGGAAACTCTCTAATGGGAATGTTTTCAGACAGTCTATAGAATAATGTTAAGTGGTGTTTGAAAGCCAACTGTCTGTAACAAACAACCTGATTTTATAAACTTCATGGTCCTTGGAGTTAGGAGAACCACAGCTGTCAGTAATACTGGCCACCCAGGAGGGTGTGTGATGACGGACCAATTTTTCCTGTTTTCAGCCTTTATAACCAAGATTGGCCTATGTCTCTCTACTGAATTTGATATTATCTATCATCCCACCTCACAGCCATGTCTTCACTTACTCTGTATGTAGAGAGGTCTATCCTCAGTGAGTTGTGCAGCTGGTCCAGAAGTTTTACAAATCTCTCTTTCTGAGGGTGAAAAACAAATATTGAGGAAAAGAGAGAAAATCTATTCCAGAGACCCCTAAACTACATCAGAAATAGAACTATTTCTGGGTGAGCAGACAGGGTATGGAGGAGACATCTGGCTGGCAACATTTCCTACCCCATCTCTGCCCATGGGGAGAACAAACAATGTAAAGGAAAAAGAAGAGGGGTGGTTCCTTTCCCATTTCTTAGCTGTTCTGTCTCAAACTATGGAATCTTCTCACACTGATGAGGGGAAAGTCAAGTCCCTGGAAAGGGAAACATTCCTTTCCATATCCAAGTTGACAGGACATTACTCGTGTATTTCTGTATCAGTCAGATAAAAAAAAAAATGTCAAGCACATTCTCCAACTTGTTCCTGAGTTCTGAGGTCTCTTGACTTATCTTGGGATAATGCATAGCAATTATATAGCCATAGCCTGGCAGTGAAGATGGAAGATATAAATGGTGAGGCATTTAGAAGACAGTCAGACATGAGGAGTCTCTTTTTATTTTTGGGTACTGGGGATTGAACCCAGGGGCCCTTAACCACTGAGTCACATCCCCAGCCCTTTTATTTTTTATTCTGAAACAGGCTTTGAAGTTGTGATCCTCCTGCCCTAGCCTCCTGAGTTGCTGGGATTACAGGTATGTGCACCACTGTTCCTGGGAAGGGGTCTCTTTTTAAACAACTTTCTAATTTACCTTAATGTATAATTTTTAATTGTTAATTATGTAATACATACTATTTTAATATTGATTTTCATAGAAAAAGTATAATTTAGTGTAGGATCATGTACTTGAAAGCTGTACACAGCATTTTTAGTACTCATGTTAATTATATGTTTAGATATAGATATTGATTATGTCAATTCATGATGGAATGAGACAAAATGAAATATATTTGAATGGCTTAATCAATTACATCAATTCACCTACAGAAAGAACCTATCAACAATAACAAAAAAAAAAGTGATTAATATCAAAAAGCAGGGCTCATGGACTCAATAGATGGGGCAATATAAGCAATTTTATCCCTACAAAGGGACCCTCTGTGATGGGTCAAAAATATTTCTTCTGGTTTATAGCAAATTTATGTCAGGTGACATTATGAGTTAATGATTCAACTTCTCTGGTACTTTAATCCAGAAGAACATAACCTGGAAAGGGAAAATAGTCCAGGTACACACTGTCATCCTCACTTAAGACATCATCAGCCTTATATAATCAGCCTTATATAATCGTAAAAGATTTAAGTCTGATGCAGAGACTAAATAATATTAAGAAAGGTCCATTTGTGGACCTGTAAGACTGAAAAACATGGTGACTTAGCCAAGTTGTTAACCCAGAGAGTTCTGTCTGAGACCAAGTAGCAATCCTGCTAACACTACAGTGGTGCTATCATTTATCTGTGTCTGAGCCTAGTCAATTAATATAATCTACATATCCATAAGGAAAGAAGTTTCATCTATTAAGGTGGCAACTACCTGGGCTGGGGTTGTGGCTCAGTAGTAGAGCGCTCACCTAGCACGTGCAAGGACCTGGGTTTGATCCTCAGCACCACATAAAAATAAATAAATAAAACAAAGGTATTGTGCCCAATTACAACTAAAAAATAAATATTTAAAAAAAAGGTGGCAACTACCTGAATTTTAGGCACATTGACTCTACATAACTGGCTAGGAAAAATCAAATTTTTATTAATTGATAACAAATAGGCATATTATGTGTTTATATCACACTCACCCCAAAGTTGGAGGCTGCAAAGCGGTCAGATGCAGAGACATTGGTAGAGGCGGTTGTGTGGGCATAGTAGGCATTGATGTTGGCCAGTAAGGTGCTCATCACTGCTGGCACACCAGGACACATGTATTTGGATGACAAACATGCAAAATGCCTGAAAAAAACAACATCTTCATTCTCAAAGACTCTGCAGAGCTTTGCAGCAAAAGCCAAGTAGAAATTCAATAAGGTTGTGAAATCAATGATGCATAGCCAGGGAGATCACGACTCTTTGCTTATACAGGGCTGCTTCCTGTGTACAGCTCTAGGGGTAGGCTCACCAATACTTCTCACAACATCAATTATGAACTCCTATTAAGGGAGTCCAGGTTGACTCTGCACACAACTGCTTTCCCTATAGTTTAGTGTCCTCTTCAACTCCCAGGCCAGTCTAGGTCAGCTTGTTGGTCACCCCCACATATATATGAGGATACACATGCCCTGTCTATTCAGGCCTGTAATGTCTGGGCAGGTGTGTGCTTGCGTTCCCTCTTATGCCCTCTTCCATTCCAATTCCTGAATTTGGGAGTAGACAGATAAATACCTTCTTTGAGATACAAACACACTTCCTTTCTTTGCCTTGAGGCATAGAGTGAACTAAAAAATCCTTGCATACTACCCCACACTAAACACCTGTCCACCACATCCTTTTTCCTACAGCCACCCCAAGAATAAGTAGTCAATTCCCAGAGCCCCAGGAGAGCCTTACGTCATAGCCTGATATATGGACTCAATGCCATAGCGCATGGCAAATTCATCCACAATTTCTTGGGCTGTCTCATCAAAGTACACCTTCCATGCATCATCTCCTCGAGCCTCAGGAATCTGGACTCCTCCACTACCCTGAATGTCTGTGAGATAATGGAAAAGGTTCTGCAGGATACAGAACAGAGAAAAGGAAAGAGTTAAATAGAGATTAAAAAAAAAAAAAGCAAAACCAAATACTACTGATAAAGTCCAAGAGAATGTTAATAGGATCCTTATTAATTCTGTCCTTTGAGTTACTGCTTGGTGGCTCCTGAGGCCCCAGCAGGTTGTTCTCACATTAGTAAAAGAGAACTGAGTCTGGGCTCCATCCCTCCCTCAGCCTTCCTGGATAGCACAGAAAGCCAAGGAATAAATGAAAAACAATCTCCAGATCCTCAACCATCTAGCAATCCTCAATGGTTTCTCACTGCTTTCTAGCCCCAGCACACCTCCACACACCTACAAAGGGCTGGCTCACCTCATGGAGGCATGTATACTGCACATGGTACGGGGCTACCTTCTCCTCCCCCTTGATCTCCACATTGATCTGTAGTCGAATAGCTCCCGAGACGGCTGACTTGTCTGTCCTCTTCTCTAAGGATGAAAGAAGACTGGAGATTAACACCAATACAACTACAGACAGTGCAAACAGCCCCATTCTGGCTTAACCCAGGGAAAAAATGGCAAGAACCCAGGAATTTTCCCAATAGGGTGAACTTACTATAGTGACCATACAGTCCACAAATACCCCTATACTAGCTAGATAAGAGAACAGAAGTAGTTAGGAAGCTAAAGGCATTAGGGATGAGAATGAAGACTAAAGGGCCTTCTGCAACCTGGAGAATGTTTAGCCAGAGTGAGTTCCTACCACCACAACTTCCCTATCATCCATTCCTACCCACAGTCAGCTCTCTGAAGATAGGACAGCTTCTGTAGAGAGATATGCTTTGGGGATTAGTGATTTGGTAGATGGGAGATTTGCCCAAATCCCCTCTTGTGCCCTCCTTTCCTAGCAACTTCTTCTGGTCTGGTTTCCTCACCCAGATTGTACCAGACATCCATCTCGCCACTCAGTGTCCGAACCTCGATGATGGTTTGGCCAAGGAAATCATCAGACTCTCGCTTTAGCCGCTGCTTTACTCTTGATTTGATGTCATCATCCTCATCCCACACACGTACCTTAATGCGGTCAGAGGAGTTATGGCACTCACTGTAAGAGATTTAGGCAGGCTCTGTTAGGGAAAGACCCAGTATCACTACTCCTATCACTTCAAATTCCCTCCCAAAAGGTCCATCAACTGTATTTCAGAGCCTGAAAGAGCAAGAGGAGTCAGGGGCCAGTGATACTAAAGTTCCCAGCTATCCCTTAGCTTGAGTAGTTGTGTGTGTCATTATCTAGTCCTTATTACCTTGAAACAAAGAAGGAGAATGTGTAATCAGGGTCAATTTTGACTTTCTCTGCAGCTGTCTTAGCAATAGTAACAGGACAATAGCTAGACATGCCAGAGACCTAGGAAGCAACTACTTTGCTCCCTCCCCAGCTCTGAGACACGAAGTCAGTAAAGGTGCTAGATGTTTTTGGTGGGTCCATCTTATCTGCTTGTTAGCTCTCTATGTAAATCCTCCATCTTTTCAACTATGTGCCTGGTGAACTTCTATTTTCCTTTATTATTCCCTTGAATCACCATCTCCTCTATGGTGTTTGCTTTGGATAAGGGAACTGCCCAGGTTCCAATCATGTTCTCTTCCCCAGAAGTTGTTTTCTGGATCCTGTTCTCTCACCCAAAAGTTGTACTCAGTAGACTTTGCTGTTTCTTTTTCTATGTTCTTATAATATCTTTTCACATTTCTGTTAAAATATTTCAGTGTAACTACTGCTGAACTGAAAAATAATGGACCAATCAACATTGAGCTTCTTGAAACCAGGGAGTGTCTTGTTCACTTTGATACACACAAAGGTGTAGAGAGTCTTATACAAAATAGGAACTTAAGTTTATTTACTAAAAGTGAGCAAAAATGACCACAGAGCCAATTCACTTAAAATTAGTCATAGAGTCAAGCAGAAACCATTCAGATTCTCAAAGAAATGGTTGCTTCTTCCAGAAACTGTTGCCTTGGATTAGAGATTAATTTTACACCACAATTCTCTTCCACACAAATTCTATGAGGAGTCAACAGAAGACGGCTTCTACATAGCCATCTTCTTAGCTGATTCAGATCCAAAGTCCTGATCCCTAGGCATTAAAAGTGGGAAGATGAAGCATCTGGATTCTCCAGATATTAGTCCAACTCCTAGGCCAGAGTTCACTATTTTTCAAAATCAACCTTTACTGTCATATAAAATAAACTATAAAAAATGAGTTAATGGAAAAAGAAAGGAGGTGAAAGCTGAGACAGGAAGAAAAGTTTCCCTGAAGGGAAACAGAAACTTCTCCAGACCCCAGATTTCCATCTTCAAGTCAGCATTATCCAGTTACAGGACAAGGACATTCTTTCCTCACTCCTTAGAACAACCCAAACCTAGCTGAGTAGGGCAGCACACATCTGTAATCCCAGTACTCAGGAGGCTGAGAAAGGAGGATCACAAGTTTGAGGCCAGCTTCAGCAGTTTAGTGAGGCCCTAAGCAACTTAGTGAGACACTGCCTCAAAATAAAAAATAAAAAGGGCTGAGGACATAACTCATTTAAATTCCCATTGGTTCAATCCTCAGTGTCCAAACAAAAGAAAAAAAAGGAAAAAAGAAAGAAAGCCCAACCCTTCCTAGACAGGGTGACAGGGCTGGAAAGTACAACAGGGTAGTTAGAAAAAGAAAAATGGGGTACCCAGAGATCTCATAAATACTCAGTTAAGAAAAGGTATGGGCAAAGTGCTATGTCTAGACAAAGAATGGCTGCTGCCCAAGTGAGGAATGTGGGAAATGGGATTTCTTCACTGCCTTTGCCTCTTCCCAGGACTCCAGAAAAGCAGGATGTAATGCTGCTTCTAAAATACACAGTCTCAGGTAAGACAAAACCCTCTGTAACTTACAAATGGAACTTCTCCTCCCAAACAGGATTCAAGTTTCCAAAAATGGTCTTGGTACGCTTCTTGGTTTTACCAACTTGCACAGTCACATAAGGGTCACTGGATCCTGTTTTGTCCTTGGCTTGTAAGCCCTGGGCACATACCACTGCAACCCAAGCACATACAGGGGGCTTCAGATTAGACTTCAGAGTAAGTGAGGAGCCCTCACTCATAGGCTCTTCCCTTAGAGCAGCCTCCCTCTTCCTATGCTCCTCCATAGCTATATGTAGTCTTGGGCCACTGCCTTTCTCTTAAAAACTAGCCCTAACAATTCCAGCTCCCTACCCAAACCCTAAATAAATAACAATTTACCCCTCACTGCTACATCCCTCTAATGTATGCATGCTTCAGTTCCATTAACCTGGTTAATAAATTACTAGTTAACTATTCCCTGGTCACCTATCTCTCCCCTCCTCCCATCTTGAGCTCTTATAATATCAAACTGCTAACCAAGTGGACAGTGTCAGGGTATCATAATACAAATCCTGTATTATGGTTCACATGGTTTGGAGTTGCCAATCTTGCCTCTTCCAGCACTGACTGAGTCTAGATGAGGAGGAGTATTAAATAATGAGGCTCTCCCTCTTCCCCTTAGTTCTATCTTCTTTCCCCCCAGTCACTTGCTCCCTCATACTCAAGATGCTTCTTCCCCAGGCTCCTCTCCATAGCCCAGGAATCCCTGTCCCCTCCAATTTTTGCCAGCTCACCAGTGATGGTAATCTTGGCTGACCATTTAGAAGTGCCATCCAGTACACTCTGCTTCACTGTTTTCATCTGCTGCACGTGGGCTACTTTGCTCACTGTGAAGACATCCCTGATAACTTCAAAGATCTCCGGCTTATTTCGCTCTCGGATCTTCATGCGGTCCTTCATGGCCATGATAATGTTCTGTGTCCGGTCCTCAGCTCCATGTTTAGAGCTCTTTTCTGCAGCCCCTGAAAGATGACCAGATAGAAAGCAGGATTAACCAACAGACCACCTACTAGACCAAGGTTGAGCTGAGGAACAGTGCCTGGGCGAAGATGTGTAGCAGTGGGAGAAGCATAGGGAGACTGGAATATCTCTGGGTAGAGCCAGTTACTATGGGGCCTGCTGCTTGGCTAGTGGGGCCTGCTGCTTGGCCAGTGGAATCTGCAACTCAAAGGGTAGCAAAATCTGGATAATTGTGATGGGGGTTCATTTACTATTCATTTGTATATGTAGGTAAAATTTTCATCAACTCTCCAACTCAAAATAACACCAACAGATGTCTGAGTTATCAGGGAATGGTGGTAGATGAGCTTAACACAACCCATCTCATCCATGTCAAGCATGATACAAATCCCAGAACTCAATGTGGCACAACAGTTGGGCTCTGTCTTATGCCTCCAGTGTGGTATTATAAGAAAAGTATGGCCTTTGGTGTCAGACAGACTTGGGTTCAAGTCCTGGCTCTACCATTCCTAGCTCATGAACTAGTTTTTTTTTTTCCTAAGGGGAGATAATGATGTTTATTTCTCAGGGCTGAAATAAGCATTATTTCAGACAGTATATGTAAAAACCTAGCCCAGAACCTGGCATCTACAGGTACTCAATAAATGGTCACTATGATTATTTTTCCCTTTTTCTACTACAATCCTTAAAGTTTTCAATACTATGGCTTGGTTCTGGGTAACACCTGGGAAAACTGAAGGAGGAGGAGAATACTTTCCAACCTCCCGCTCCCCTGCTTTTTCTGGGACCCAGCAACAGCTAGTACTAGTCTGGCAGAAGGGGAGCAGGGAGACAGAAGCTTTGGGCGATACAACTTCCCCTGACAGGAGCTAGCTGTTTTCCTGTTCCCATTCTCCCCACTCCTCATGATAATACAAGTCACATATATAGTTTCTCTTGGGAGACTGACACACTGTCCTGGACAATAGACTCCATCTATTTGAAATTTCTATTCTATTGTCTAAAATCTCAATCTACACACAAGGAGTAAATGATTCCTTTTGTGGGTTCTAGGGTTTAGACCTCAGGAAGTTCCTCTGTGAAGCCTGGAACCTCATGGAACTCACTCTCTCTTCTTATTAGTTTTAGTCCCTGATTAAACAAGTTCTAGTCATTTAGGAAATAAGGCTACTGTATACACTATTCAAGTTTAGCCTCTAGGATCAACTCAATCCTGGAAGAGATTCTAGCTGTCAAAAGAATATAGAAAGCTCAAAGAATTTTTGCTAAAGGTGCTTAAGAGGGGACTATAAGATTTGTTATCTGGAAAGGAATCACCCCTTGAGTTTGTACCCTACCTTCTCTGAAAAGAATCAGATGGACTGGTGGTTCAGCCAACATAACTCTCCACTGCAAACTATTTTGCAGAGGCTCTATTGCCCTGACAGTCCAACCCTCATCCCACAGGGGCACTCACGCTGCAGGCAGTCGGCGTTGAGCAGGTCCTGGCACTTCTCATGACACTTGACCCCACACTGGCTGCAGCGCATGCCTTGCCGGGCAATGCCCCAGAGTAGGCCTTCACATTCATAGCAGTAGGTCGGGGTGGTAGCTGACCAGACTTCAAAGTTGTGTGGTGTGGTACATGAGATGGGGTAGATTAAGGCCTGCAGGGTTTTCTTATATACATGGGATTTCTGAAAAATACACACCCAATTATCCACCTGTGATTTTAGGACTCTGCGGGGAGATGCCAGAACAGAGACCCTGTGGGACAATTAGGACCCTGGTTCTTCCTCTGGCAATGGAAAAGATATGCTAGCCTGGCCTAGTCCATAGCCCAGCCTAGCTGAAAGAAGCTCTGAATATAGTGTGTTCCTGGTCATCTAACACAGGTTAGACCTGATGCTGGGTCTGAGCCTTATCCTAACATTCACGCTTTCTGGGGAAACAGAGGGTACTAGGCCTACCATAGAATCCAAGTTCAGTTGTCAACCCTTCAAAATGAGACTCTGGTCTGGTCTGCCTCTCCCCATATAGAAAACTGGGACTTGTTGCTATCAATATGTTTCATCAGAAATGTGTGCCCTATACTCTTGAATTCCCAGTTAGCGCAGCCACACCAGAGATGATCACCAGTCCTGAGGCCAGTGAACTTGTGAAAGCCCACGGGTCACTTACCAGCTCTTCATCCTTAAGAGAGGTACGTGTAGCCATTGCCGAAGTAATCCCTGCCTTCCGGGACTGGACCAGTGACTGTGAGAGAAGACTTGCTGTCAGCCCTGGCCATGACCAAGAGCTGGCAAAGCCCCAGGGAAGGAGCTTCAGTGACCAAAGTCACTTGACTATCACTCCATTCTGTTTTCACTGTCACTCACAAGTACTGCCCCTGGGCAACAGGTAACAAGTATCTCAAGTTCTGCAAAACTCAAGGCCAGCAGGAGACTGTTCTAACAATGTTAGAAACAGCACTTCCTTCAGGACATCCACAATCAAGAAGGATTTCTCCTTCTCTCACTATCTTTAGGTATCCTACCCCACAGAAACTCCTTGTTTATATGAAGGCAAAGGAAAATGAAAAGCTTAGAATGATAGAAGGAAACAAGTTACAAGAATAAGAGAGGCACACAATTCTGTCAGAGTCACATTCAATGACTATCACTAGAAACAATGATTCTACGCTAACCCCTATTCCCTGGTACCTCCCCATGCCCAGTCCTTGGGGGACTATAGAGGCCAGCAGCCCAAATGATCAGGGCACTTGGCAAGGAAAAGGGCAATGCAGTCTCAGTTAAATCCAGCAAGGCACAGAGTTAGGTCTGAAAGCCAGGGCTGTCTTGTTAGCCAGGCTCTTGAGTAGAGGGATTCTTGTGTCTGCCAAGCCTAACCTTTAGGGGGGCAGCTCCTGAGACACGTGGTTTCCTTAAGGCAGTGGGCACTGGGCAGACACAAATCATCGTATCAGGCTAAGCAAAAAATCAGCTGGGAGGGGCCCAAGTGATTTGGGATATGGACTCAGAGGACAGGGAGGGGCTCTGGAGACACTCACCATAGCCTGCACCGAGGAAAGCAGAGAAAGGAACAACATGATGTTAAAGCCCCCAAGGGCCTGAATACTTTCAGAGGCAACTGAGAGATCAGTCCCCATATTATAAAGTAGGAAACATGTCCCAACCCCATCTGTCTCTATCCAGTTCAACCCAGACAGCTGACCAGGGCCCAGGGCCTAGAGCTCCTACTCTAGAGTTAAGCCACAATAAAAGACAGACAAGGGTAAAAGACAGAGTAGTAAAAATGAGACATGAGCTAGATACTTGCTGGTAGGTAAGGAGGGAACAGAGGATGAGAAAAAAGAAAAGAAAGATGGGATGAGAAATAATAAAGTAGGGAGGATGGTAATAAAGAGATGACATCAGATTTTACCTTCATCTGGCTAGATAATGGAAGAAAAAGAGGGGAAAAAAGAGAAACAAGATACATAAATGATAGAAAATAAAGGAAAGAAAGAAGAGAAAAATATCAAATGACACTTTCATTCAGCCAGCTAAGGAGGAAGAAACCAAAGGGAGAAAAAGAACATGGAATGGAGAAGAAAGAAAAGGAGTGGATAGAAAAAACCAGAATGGATAGAATAGGGAGAAAAAAGGGAAGAACCAGGAACAGTAAATGGAAATAAGGAAATGGTTTAGATCTTACTAAATCTGAACCCTTATACTTTATATTGAGCTTTAGGACTCTGGGACTCTGAGACAGCCTGGGCTCTCCCCTACCCCTGTGACCCACAGACTATACAAAATTCCTTGAGCTGATCCTGCCTCAGAATGTACGACATGGAGTGGGAGCTTCTAGTTATCCTAGAGGTCCCAAGATTAACTTTAACTTTTACATCTATTGCAATATAATCCTACAAATGTTTATCATTTCCTCTCAGTGCCAGACATTCAGTTAACAGAGAGAGTCTACAAAGTTTATATCTTAGGATGACTTTCAGTTGACTTCCAGAAAGCTCCAGTCACGCTCATCACATATACGCTCAATAATCCAGATCAAGGGCTAGAGGCAGTTTACAACCCAGGGCATCAAAGAGAGCTATAGAGATTTCTAGAGGATTAGGAGACCTAAAGAAAGACCCCAGAGTCCAGCTCTGAGGGTCTGAGCCACAAATGTTCCAGGCAGGAGCTTGACCTACTAAGGTGCCTGGAGCTCTATGGAGTGAGGCACAACAAGGTCCCCTTGAAGCTATTATAAAGTCTCAGGAAGGTTCTAAATGAATAATCATCACACCAATGATGATCTGATCTGGAACACTAAATGGACCATTTCCAATTCTGATAGCTTGCCAAGATCCAATGAAGATTACCCCAAGGATACTGCCTAATCTTACACACGAGTCTTCACTCACCAGATCACTGACAAGTGGTAATGGCTTTTTTCTGCGTAGGTCTGGCATGCTGTCGATGCCATAGAGCCCTCCAGCCGGCCTGAGGAAGGAAGGAAATGTGTTAGGACCTTCAGCCCTGACTTGAGTTACTAGCAGGTTCAGAGTTCCATTCTCCTTTATCTCCTCTACCCAGAGGAAGATGAACTAACCTTCATCATGTGCTTTCAAAAGGATAAAGGAAGACAGTAAGTAAGGGAGATAAAGCCACAGAAGGAGCAATGGAATATACTCTTGGAATGTCATTAAGGGTCTCATGTGGTTTTAAGCAAGGACTGAGAGCTCCTTTATCCTACTGGAATAGTTAAGATATATCTGTTTATTTGAAGGCACCTGTGCTTCTGAAAGCAAGTTAGAAATTGGTGGTCAAGAGGACTCCTGCTCACACACAGGCCAAAGACACTGTTCTCCAAACTCTTGTTTCTACAGAAGGAACCTACTGCCAATGCAAGCAAGACTATCAAACAATGACATATAGAATGGGACCCTCTCTATTCAAGAGTAAATGAATCATCTCCTTTAAAAAATAGGGGAGAGGGGGCTCTCCATTGAGAGAGAAGCTCTCCTAATCAAATTGAAGCAGGTAAGGCGGGGATGGAAAATTACCAAAATACCATTTGGTGTGGGTGGTGGGAAAGTTCCACTTAGGAAGAACAGCAAAGGGACTCTGAGAGTCTGGCCTAGTCCTGTGGACACATTAACAGAGACTAGAAAATATTATAGCTAGAGGAACTGTAAATTTCTAAAATTTGTATACTTCACTATACATATTAATTTTGTTATTTGTGTGTTCTTTCATAACTATATGCAATAAAAATAGAAGGTTGCCAACAGAACATCAATCTTACATTGAGATAACCTGGATTTTAGTTCCACCTCTCCTAATTCCCTATAAATCTTCTGCCAATACTCCTTCTTCTCTCTGGGTCTTGGTGTCACTTCCATAAAATGAGGTGGATAGGTTACAAAATTTCTCTGGCCTTTTGGATGCTGAAACTCTGATCCTCAATGAAAAGAACTCATATACTTAGTTTCAATGAAGCAATAAGGAAGGCAGGGAAGCTGGGCTAGAAACTGCTGGTTTAAAAAAAGTCTCATAAGAATAAGCAGGTACTTCAAGCAATATAGGCAAATAATGGAGCCACAAAATGGGTCAAGGCCAGAAGCTGGAATGGTCAACTCAATATGTTAATTTCTAGTAAACTAGCTCCCTGGGCATTAGCAATGGACTTTGTTTTTAATGAAATTACCAGTCCAAGGGAAGTTCTATACTTGTGACAGTTTCTAAGGATTATGCTGAAGGAAAGAGAAGACAAAAGGGAATTTTTAGAAAACCTTTACATGGTTCCATTTAAGAATAAGTTTGAATATGTTCTATTGGCATGGGTATATTTTAAAATTATTAGAAGAAAAAAAAAACAAAGTTCACTGAAGAAGAAACTGCTGCCACAAGCTTAGAACTAATTCTAAAAATGATAATATGTACCACTTAAGCCAAGAAGTTTTGCAACATAAATGATCTTTTGAAAAAGAGACAGAGGTAGCTCATTCACCCAATTTGACTCCTGATTTTAAAAAAGACCAATCACGGGGCTGGGGCTGGGGCTCAGTGGTAGCTTGCCTAGCATGTGTGAGGCACTGGGTTTAATTCTCAGCACCACATAAAAATAAATAAATAAAATAAAGGTCTATCAACAACTAAAAATGTATTTTAAAAAAAGACTAGCCACAAAAAAAGAAGTATGTAAAAATATAGTAGAGGGCTGGGGATATAGCTCAGTGGCAGAAAACCTGCCTAGCATATGTGAGGCCCAGGGTTTGATTCCCAGAACTGGAAAGAAAAAGAGAAACAAAGAAAGAACAAAAGAACGAACTAGATAATTTTATGATATGACGTTCTTCCGTCCACAGAAAAGAGGAGGTGATTACTGAGAATTCAGATGTCAGAAGCCTTTGTAGGGCAAAGGGAAAAGGAAGGTCAGAAAACTAATTGGCAGTGTATGTGGGGGAGAGTGAGGCCCCAGGGGGGCACTTAAACTCTTCTCTCTCCTAAGAACAGTCAGTCAGTCACAGGCAGCAGTCCAGAAGCTTAAATGACTCTCTGGTGCAGTCACATGAGCCTGAAATTCCCAGACAAGAAGCACAGACTGCACACACAGAGCTCAGAAGGGATGTGACTTAGTCTTGACTACAGTGGAATGGAATAAGCAGGTGACTCACAACAGCTGAAGCCCAGGGAGTACTCTAATCAGCTATACCATCAACAATGAAATGGAAAGAAAGTGTTTCCAAATGCTGGTTTTTCCCCCTAATGTCCTCATTTTTAAAATAAAAAGTATATCGCCACTCTGATTCAATGGATCAGCAATCAGAGAGGCAAGGATGGGAGACTCCCAAAGCTCCCTCCCCTATCCCAGGGAATTCACAGCAAAGCTCCCTCTTCTGCCTTTAAGAATCAGCAGTTCTCTCTCCTGTCCCAGGGAACCAATCTACGGTGGAAACTTTTCCCTCCCTAGGGTCCAGCTTATGGAGCTGCCTCCACTGTTTCCCAAGGGAAAAGCTAAATGCAGAGAGAGGCAGCATATCATCCATAGAAAACTTGTATGGAATTACTTACCCTTCTGGAAGCCACTGAGGCAGAGAAGGGTCACCATCATCTGGAATCTTTTAAAAGAGAAAAACATGTTAGATCCTAGGAAAGAAGGGGCATTCAACACATAGCAATATAGCCAGCCTGATTCTAAGCCAATAATCTATCATCTGAGTCAACAAGCAGACTGCTGAAATGAACAGTACTTGTTTTGCTTCTCCCCAGTGAATGGTAATGATACAAGGCCAATCCCACTGAGATTCCAGGGCTAAGGTCCACTGGGAATGTGGGAGCTGCCGGAACTCACCAGTCAAGCCACTGCTATTGACAGTAGTAGTCCAAGCCCAAAAGAAGGGCATTCTTAGGCTTCCAGGTCTCACTAAAGCAAAAGGGCAACTTCATATAGAGCTGAGTCTTCTTCCAGCTACATTAGCTCTTTTGGCTAAACAAGAAGTCAATCTAGTCTTTCTGGATTCCCATCTCAACTTGTGATTTGACAGTTTGGGTTCCTTGAAGCCCTAACTCACTGATACTGAGTACTCAAGTATAGCAAAAGCCCAGGGAAAATTAGACTCTTGGGTTATCATTCTGGTAAATTTTATAGGTCCAAGAATATAAAGTTGAAAACTGAGGTACCAAATCAAGGAATGAACAGTTAAAAAACACTTGTTAAAGGTTTCTGCACAAAACAAAACAAGCCAAGTCTTTCAAGCAGTGCAGAGAAAAGAGTTTCAAAGCTGCCAGGGCACTCCAGAGAATCAATGGCACATGATTTTCTGGCACAAGAAACCTAGTGCTAGCAGGTCTGGGGCTTCTTGCCCATTCTTGTTCCCCTCCACCACAACAACTTCCCTTTCCTCCTAACTTCCCTAGAGCAAACAAGCTCCAGAAGGAAGGAAGAAGTAAGCTGCTTAATTTTGAATGGGGTAGGGGGTGGATGGGTGGGTACATGTTTGGGTGACAGCTAAAGAAGGGAGAAGTTATGGATTGGATCGAATGAGGCAAGACAGAACAAAATAGAGAGAGATAGGGCAGGACTAACAGGAGATGGAAAGGTGGGCAAGTAGGATGGATCAGTAGTAGGCTCAGATTTGAGTTTTTAATTTAGGCCAATTCCTAGTAAGATGCTTCTTACATCGTCTATGCTTTAAATCAAGCTTATCTATCTACTGCCCACACTCTTATTTCACCTCTGCTGCCTATCCTGGTTTGAGTTGTGATACTGGTAACAAGAGGGTCAGGCCTAAAAGGCATCCAGAAGTGGCTGAAGCAAAAGACAATGGGTACAACAGAAGAAACAAAAGTAGGTGTGAAATAATGTTTGTTCCTAAGGCTGCTTGGGGACAAGGGCAGGTGCTGGGCATCAGGTGAGCCCTTCTCTAAATCCCCAGATCCTACCAACCAGAACTGATCTTCCCTTTAAAAACAGCTGCTGTACTGAGCAGACTCTTATTTCCTTTTTAATTCTCAGAATCAACATCTGCCAGAACTATTAGGCTTAAGAAAACAAAGTCACAAGAAGTCTTTGCAAGCCAGGGCCAGATCATGTGCATTTCCTATGCTCAGAAGGGACAATAGTCCACAGAAGCACACAACATGCACACACAGCACACTGAAGGAAGGAAGGGAGTGGGAGGAGGTCTAGACAAAGTACTTATAGGAGGTATATTCATGGACACAACTTGCACCTGAAGGAAACAAGGTGAGCATGAATCCTGAGTTTATGGCTTCAGAACATGTGCACAAACACATCTGAGGAAGATTCACAGTGTTCACTAGGGCCCAAGTAACAGGCAAAGCAAACCCTCACTAAATTCAAGAGCCAATGCTGACAAGCAAGAAGCATTAGTATAATATGCATTCACAAGGCTTCAGGGAACCACACACAGTCTACTGGAAGCTTGTGCCCATGGAGAGGTCAGGAAGCCTGCTCAGAAACACAAAGCAATTTCACACTTAGGGCCCCAAGCAAAGGGACAAAATGCCTGTGGCAACTTTTGCTCTCAAATACAAAGTATGTGCGCATGCTGGGCTCAGCCAGGGTTTATAGTGTATGCCAGAGTCTGCAGCAACAGGCAGAAAAGAAACACACACTGTGTAAAGTAGGAGGACAATCAGTGTCTGGGGAAGTCGGACTGAGTACAAGTGTAAACACACACATGCTACATTGAATGTGCACCTGTGCCAGTACACACACACATTCTCTCACTGAGCTCCAGGTGTGTCAGCTGGAGCACACACAGCACGAAGCATGCATACAAACTTCTTTCTGGAAAACAGACTATCTGCATGAGCCACAGCTCATGTGTGCCACAGATCATGCACACATACATACACACACAGTACTCAGAGGGCAGGGTGGAGAATAGACACAAAAAGGACCCAAAGGGCCATAGGCACAACCTGAAGGGCTTCTCGCTTTCCTTCTGCAAAGGAGAGAAAGAGCGGGGGGGGGGGGGGGGGGGTAATAAAGGTTAGTAGATTCAGTCCTATAGCAGGGAACCCAAAGAAAATGCTAGTTAATCCTGAGGGACATGGAGGAGAGGATTTCTGGGTAGGCCAGCGCCCAGCTGACTGGGTCCCAGAATTATTATTTCTTTTTACTATTTTTTTTTTTTAGTTGTAGATGAACAAAAAGTATCTTTATTTATTTTTATGTGGTGCTGAGGATCGAACCCAGTGCCCTGCACACGTGAGACAAGTGCTTAACCACTGACCCAGCCCTGGGTCTCAGAATTTTTACAACCTTTGTTTGCCAGCCTCTGGTTTTTATTTATTTGGGGTGGGGGAATGGGGGGTGAGATTAGGGATTTAACCCAGAGACAGTTTACCACTATATCCTCAGCCCTTTTTAATTTTTAATTTTGAGACAGGATCACACTAAGTAGCTTAGAGTCCCACAGAATTGCCAAGGCTGACTCTGAACTTGCAATTCTCCTGTCTCACCCTCCTGAACCAGTGGAATTAGAGAAGTATACCACTGTGCCCAGTATGGCCTCTTATTTTAATTTAAACATCCTAGAGGCTACTTAAACCAAACAACAAAGTCTGCTTGAGGATTCCACTTGTTGTTTTCCCCTTTGCAAAGTGGTCTGCATTCAGGGTCAGGATTCCCAGGACCACAAGACCAGGTTTGTTACCAAGAACTATTCCAACAGACTATCTGAGCTATTGAGTCCTACAAAGCCATGTGAGCTTACTCTGGATCTGGAATAAGTCCTCAAATCCCCAAGGCTTGATGGCTGAGCCCTTTCCATTTTGCAATTCAGAGCTGGTCATGCATTTGTCCAGTGAGCCCTAACCTGTTTTCCTAGACCCTTTAAATTAAGAGAGACCAAGGTATGGCCTGGGGTCAAGGTCAGAACCAAGATGCTAAAAGGGTAGAGACCCTGAGGCACCAATTGGCTGTTATCCTAACAAAAGTTGTGGGGGAGCCACCTTGAGTAACCATGCCTTCCAGTCCTGTTGCCAAGGGGACCTGAAAGATCTCTGTAGTCTGGCACTGTAGTGCCATGACTCGTGACTCAGTTGTCCCCCACCCCATAGTAAAGAGGTTCTCTTTGTGGGGCGTGCCTCTAGGGTTGAGTTACACTCACCTGTTCCCTTGTAGTCCTGCCCCTTCTGGTCTTTTTGGATAGAACTTTCTAAGAATAAGAATCTCCCCCAATAAAACCTCACTTTTGAAAGTGTTCCCTCTCTCTTGTCAGCCTCTCATGACTTTCTCTTGCTCTCCTTTTTGGGGAGCCTGAGGCCAAGAGCCGGGGAAGCCATCCTGAAGCTTGTGTAAAGGTAAGTTATGTCTGTGTTTTATTTTCTGTCCCTGCGGATTCACACAAGCGATCTTAATTCAGCTGCCCGCGCTGGTCAGGGGGGTGGCAAAAAGTTGCACTAATCTGGAAGATTACTATAATCCCAGGTCTGGTAATTTATCAAATCCAGAAAACTACTTTCTTTTTTTGTTTTTGGTACCAGGAAGTGAACCTAGGGACATTTTACCACTAAACTACATTCATCCCCAGTCCTTTTTATTTTTTGAGACAGGGTCTTGCTAAGTTGCTGAGGCTGGCCTTGAACTTGTGAACCTCCTGCCTTAGGCTCCACAACTGCTAGTACTACAGGTGTGCACCACTGTACCCAGCCCAGAACAATACTTTCAAAGGAAAAGGACACTTTGAGAAGGACTCAAGCAAACTATAATAGGAGACAAATAATGTCCAAAGATTATTCCCTTTCTAATCATCAGGGACTTCAGCACCCTCTAGGCCACACATGGAGCTTCCTGATCTAAAGACAGTATACAGATTAAGATTTATAAAACTGTTTTCTATTTCTGAGTCCTTCCTGCTCAGACTAGGTGAAAAGTGTAATTTGGGGCACAACTATAACCAGAATGATCCTAAGTTGTCAGAAATGGGCCATAGCCTGAGTCAAGGTACAACAAAAGGTTATGCCTTGTTTAGGGTGCTTTGGTTTCCTTAGTTTCTAAATTGCTCATGAGAGCTTTCTCACAATTTTGTGTATAAGCCCCATATAAGCATTCTTCAGAGGACAGATATATAGGTAAATAAATTCTAGAGATTTTTTTCAAGTGTGTCTACTTTGCTCTGTCCCCACCAGGTTTTGCCCTGGTGTTCACCAGCTGGGTACCCCTGAGAGTGTGAGTGTGCTCTGCCCTTCTGGCCTCATTGCCCAGGTGACAGCACTAATCCTTCTTCCTGGCAGGGTCAGAGTACGATCTGGAGATTTGGGGGAATTACTTAAGTACTCTCTTGTTGCTTCTGTAATATGTATCACATTCAGTGCCAACAACTTGGAATATAGCAAGTTGATGGCACAAGCTATATTTGGTCAATAGTAGTATGGGACATGACTCCAAAAGCATGGGAAACATAAGCAAACAGACTAGAACAGTCTCAGTTTAAGTGTGTCAACATCCATTTTATCTGAACATTTATCATTAACTTCTCAGTGCTAGTGGCTGTTCTAGATAGACAATGGAAACAAAAAGATGAACAAAACAGAATCCATCAGCTGAGAGGGAATGATGCCAGCTTACCCAGCTGATCCTATATGGGACTTCCTCCAACAACAGTTTCTGTAATCTGTCCAAGTTAACACAGGTAACTCCTGAAAGGGATGACAACAGCAAAACAAAACAAAACAAAACAAAACAAAAAAACTAGTGTTGCCTGGTAGAAAGTATTCTCCATGACTCACATTGATCTTGGGTAGGAAACTTGAATCATATGGTCACCATTGTTCCTACCTCTTCTTTTGCATGGTGCTTCAATTGTTGACTGTAACCATCTAAACATTTTCTTGACAGCCTTTTCTGTTGAGGTTATGTCTTATAACACTATGCAAAGGGTAGGGGAGAACAAGAATCTGAACTGCTTCTTAAGAGCTTCATCATCCACAATGTTTTCTTTGTAAATAGAAGTCTCTGCCACTGAGTGGAGCTCTCTAAGACAAACAAAAAAATTTCAAACCAGGCACAGTGGCACATGCCTGTAACCCCAGCTACTTGAGAGGCTGAGGTAGGAGTTTTGTAAGTTTAAGGTCAACATGGGCAACTTAGTAAAACCCTGTCTCAAAATAAAGCCTGAGTATATAGCTCAGTGGTAAAGCAGTTGCCTGACATGCACAAGGGTCTGGGTTCAACTTGCAGTACCACAAAAATAACAACAGAAAAGAATAACAGCAGTCCATCCACTGGGGCCCATCAACTCTCCTCATTTCCCCGCTTCCTTTTCAAGACCCACTGATATCACATCACTAGTGAAAATAAGAAACCAAAAAACTAATTCATAGTTCCCAAATTTTCAAGCTATTTATGATGACCCAATATGTACCATGTCCTGATAGAAGAATGAATTCAAGACTAGGAAGCCTTCAGAACAGTGTAGCAGAATGACACTTCTTGCAACAGGGACATATCTCTTCCACATCTACATCCCACTCTCCCCAGTATATATATTCTGTTCCCTTTGAATAAGAAAATTAGGCATGGAACACTTTAACTGACCCTATGACTCAAATTGGAAATGTTTCTTTCCTCCTCCACTGTCTTAAATACATTTTTCACATCATGTCAAAGTTATTTTGGTTGAATCCTGTTCCCCCATATTTCCCCATAATGCCTACAGAATAAAATCCAATCAGTTGACAAGGCCAGCAAGGTCTCCCATGATTTGATTCTCCCCCACTCCCTTCCTGACATCATAGAAGCTTACTATAATGTAATTGCCTTGTTTCCCAAATGGTCATATACTCAAAATGCCACATATTTACTCATTCTGTTCCATCAACCTTAAACAGCACTGTAAGGACTTCCCTAATGCCCACCCAAGCAAGAGTTCAAGCCCCCCCCTAGTGTAGCTAAGTTCTACTCATCCTTCTCATTGGTATTTATAATATCATGCCTAGACAAATTCTACTAAAATACTGATGAGAATCAGAGCAAATAAATGCAGATTTTTAACTTCAACTGAGTTCTCAGTATCACCTGACAAGTTCCTTCCATCTCACTAGTAAGATCTCTCTTCTACTTCTTAAAGTAGTTATACTTAACTTCAGATCCCTACCTTATCCCAGCACTTTAACAACTGCCTATTTCTGAATAGCACCTGGATATCCCATGCTTAGTTCAAATTCAACATGTCCAAATACTAAATTTACATTTTCCACTTCTAAATTCCTCCTCCTGTATCTGAGACCTAAGACTTCTCAGCCAGACACTTGATTCCTCTCTTTCCACCCTATCCCTATCCAGTCAATCACTCAGCCCTCTATAGTCTACCTATTAAATATCTCTGACATTCTCTCCATCTCTTCATTCCAAACGGCCACTACCTTAGTCTAGATTGGCATTGTCTATTATCTATAACAAGACATCCCAGGCTGACCTCCCTGTCCAGTGACTTGCTCCTCTCTAATCCACACTCCACACTGCCTTTTTTCCTTCTCCCTCCTTCCCTCTCTCTTTTTGTACTGGGGATTGAACCCAGAGACACTCTACCACAGAATTAAATCCCCATCCTTTTTTATTTTTTAAAGCCAGGCCTTGAACCTGCTCAGTTTCCAAGTAGCTAGGATCACAGGTGTATGCCACCATATCCACATAACATTTTATTTTCTTTCCCTTTTTTTAATACCAAAAATTTAACCCTGGGGCACTTTACCAGCCCTTTTAATTTTTGAGACAGGGTCTTGCTAAATTGCTAAAGCTATGCTTAAACTTGTGATCCTCCTGCCTCAGCCTCCCAAGCTGCTGGAATTACAGGCACGCACCACCATGGCTGGCCTAGATCACATTTTTTCTTTGCTTAATTGCATCAATGGCTTTACTATAGCTCATAATATGCTTCAACATTTGTACTTTCCCTACTAATCTAACCTACTTTTCTTCCGTTCTTTTTCATGTGTC